TCCCGATGGTTCCCGCGCACAGATATTTGTCATGATGCAAGGCATGCTCTATGTCGGCCTGGCGTCGGGACCATGGGTACGTCCTTACTGGTTTTCCACGTGTACTCAGTGACTAACCTGGCGATCTCAGCTGAACGGCGCCGTTCTTAACCTCGTGAACAGTAGCACAACGGTCACACTCTTCGCGCTTGCGATCGTCATTGCCCTTTGCAATCTGGTTTTCGTCATTTTGATCCTTCCTGAATCACTGCCCCGACATCGGCGACTCCACTCGCGGTCTTCCACAGGTTATTCCCATAGGGCTTCGGGTTCCCACTTCGAGCCACCACAACGACGCCCCAAATCCATCGGCAGGGTGCTCAAGAAGACTTTCACAAGCATTGTCACGCAACTCATACGCCCAATTTCTTTGTTTTTCCCGGTGCCACTCGACCGTGGACGCAAGGGCCGCAACTGGAATCTGACGTTGACGGGCATAGCTCTCTTCATTTACGTCTTGTCTATCGTAAGCCTCAACATCAACGTACCTTCGGCAGGTACTGCTTGCTCACGATACATGGCGTTTACAGCAAGTTTACAATCTCAAGTATTTGTACGTCAAACATGTGTATGATTGGTCCAGCGAGCGGGTGCGATGTCTTTCACATAAATTCGTTCCAGTTTGCTGATTGCTGGTCTCTGGATAGTTGGGCTACTATATGTCTCTTCTTTGGATCACTCGTGCCATCAACCTTTTGGTTCTCTTGCCAGGTCTGAGCCCTTTTCCCTTTTGAAAGCTCGTTCGTTAATCGTTTCAATCGCTCCCAGCCGTTCTATCTTATTTTGCCCCGGACCGCCCTCGAGCTAATGCGCGCTCATCGCCTACTCATCTCGCGGCGGCCATTCGTTTCGATCGCTTTGTCGCTGCCTTGTCCTTCTTCACCGATGCCTCCGCCAACGCCCTCGTCGTGCTCTCGCCCACTTCGTCCCAGGTCTTGTTCATATTGTTCATTTCACTAAACTCGGTCACATCGGGTGGCAATCCCGCCCTCCATTCGTTGGGTGCGGTCTCTATGCAGGCCATGGGCAAGGGCGAGGAACTTGGTCTCGTGTTTGGTGCTCTGGGTGTCGTCAATGCCGTGGCGCACATTGTTGCTGTACGTACCTCATGTTGCTCAGTTCTAGGATGGGAAACTCACGTCATTCTTACCTCTGCAGCCAGGTATATATGCTGCGATATACGGGGCCACTGTCGCCGAGTTTCCCAAGGCCATGTTCGTCATGTCCGCTATCTTGCTCTATACGGCTGTTATCCTCCTGCTCGGCGTCCGGCCATACATCAGCGTCCCCCCAGATGACGGAGAGTACCAACCTGCACCTGAAGATGAGGACGCCGTCGAAGAAGTAGAAGAGGGAGAAGAGAGCGGCGCGTCCTCCGGCGAGGGGACGAGGGGTAGGGCGTCGCTGCGGGATAGTCACGAGGCGGCGAGGAGAGCGTCGATCAATCGCGTCTCCATCTCAGAGGAGACTTTGTGAGTGTAGTAGGCGTCGGCGGTCTAGTGGATTTTTTGGAACTCAAGGACAGCTGTGTATCATGGATGGATAAGTATCGATGTATGTTTCATTAGTTCTTTGCGGGTTGTTATCATAAACGCTCTCCACTCTGGCCACCTTGTATCGATCCATAGCTTCGCTGTGGTGGAATCACCAACTAATATTAGGCAACGTATTGTAATTCATACATCTCATTATCTCCAACACTATCCGACCGTGTTCTGGTGCTCCCTACTTCAACACGATAGGAGCAATGGCCTTCAGCGAAAAGCATCAGCGCGACCCAGATGATGGTGTATAGCGAGGGTGAGAGAACGCACCTTCTTCGTCATCTCGTATATGCGCCGTTGTCCGGCGAACAAAATCGCTGCGGTAAGCACGCTTTGGACGAGCTTGCTGCTTACGCCCTTATACAGCCCGCCGAACCCCTCCTCGTCAACGATCGTGCGCAGACCGTGCAACGCGGATTGGTAACGTTGGGCATGTTCTTGACCCGCTTGAAGGCGAGACTTCACGACGCTGTGGGATCGATAAAATGAGGAGAGGCTAATACGAACGAGGCGGAAGACATACATGTAGGGGTACGTTGCGGATGTGGCCACTAGAAAGGCCCGTGTTAGAAACCACAATAATCGAATGTACAAGCGGGAAGACGTACCTAGCTTTGAGAGAGCCCCCAGCATGAAGAAGTCAACGTCGGTCAGCACGCCCGACGACCCGCGTACTTTCCGTCGACGTACGAGCGCGTTCTTGAGCTGTTCGAAGACTGTATACTGTAACACAGGATTTACGACCAACACAAGAGCTGGGCCGATGCCGCGCCAGAATGCGGGAAGGCCCCCCGTGCGGAGGATGTAGGATATGGTGTCGAACATGCCTCGTTTCTTGGGCGAGGGGGAAATCGGGGATGCGGTTGGATCGGCGGAGGGATGTGAGGGTGTCATGGACTGGACAGCTTGGGAGGTTTGGATGACCCAAATGGGGTTGCTTATGAGGGTCGTCGCTGAGCCTGTTCAATGTGTCAAGTCAGTGGGCGGGGTAAATGTAGGAGCAAGGAGGATTTGCCTGCGATGAGACCTGCGAGCATTGACTCGAGGGTAGAAAGGCCCTTGCTCCCCGAGCGTGAATTGACTATAGCGCCCTTCGATCGTTCATAGAAGTAGTAATATACACTGCGGGGACATCATCGGCACTTCGACTTCGCGAACCTTCACAGACTGGACTTCGGAGCAAGAACGTACCCGTTGGTGACTGCTATACCCAATAAGCTAGAACTCAGCCCGCTGTACAGCCCGGTAACGCCTTCGCGCTTGATGATATCGAGGACTGCTTGGTACGTCGTCTGCACATTTCGCGGTCAGTCAACTGGAGCTACAGGACCAACGAGCAGACGCGATGCGCACCTTGTCTTCATTTCTCGTTTCTACTGCGGCACGAGTCGATAAAACGACAAGGGGACTATGATTCTACGAGATGAGCGATGGGGAGCGGCCGAATGCGGGGTTAAAACACTTGCTAGGTTGCGCTCATGGCGACTATGCCACCTGCAGCTCCGGCGACGGAGTGGATGAGAGAATCGGAGCTGGACATGATTTGGACTATGTATGAGGGCGGGTTGAGGAAAGAAAGAAAACGACGGTCGTCATGTACCGGAGTGTAACATTTAAGAGCGGGGACATGCGGGGAGCGGGGAAACTTGAGGGCGTCGGCGCGACGCGTCTTATCACATGCCTCTTACTCAAGTATCATTGTATCATCACCACGGCTAGTAAGTAGCAGGGCCACTAAGCAGGCTGCAGCTACTCAATGCAAGTCCCTACAGTATCCAATATCCTTCACAGCAACACCAATACATAGAAAAACATATAGGTCAAACCCTGCATTTCCGGACCTAAGCAAACAGATAATCATAGAAACTCTTGTTGTTCTGAGTGCCCTTCCTACTCTTCGCCGCAGACGAAGCTGCCAGTCGTCTCGAGACTCTGCGAGCCGGAGAACGCGAGGGCGACGAGCCTGACCTTGTCCTCTCCCATACTCGCGTGCGATATGGCACGGCTCGACGTGCACGCGGGGTATCGTCGTCGGCGCCGAGTGACAACCCCTGCGTTGCCCGCTCAAGTTCGCGGTCGCTGTCGGCGGACCATGCTCCGGCCTCGTTAACCGTGGCGCGGTAGAGAGATGCGATGGACCCCATTTCGGAACCTGCCTCTGCGTCCGACGCGATGTCAGAAAGGGGACCAATGGCTGGAACGTCGGGTTCCGAGGCAATGTCGGAAAGGCCATCAGCTGAGGTCTGCACATCGGAGAGTGAAAGGATATCCGAGTCGTAGGAAGAAAGTGACGAAAGGTCCGCGTCGGTAGATGGAGGGGTGACAATGCCTGGGGCCGGTATACGGGGGTTGGCGCGAGTATTGTTAGGTCGCAAGATGTAGGTAAGGCGGTGAGATGCCGTGTCCTTGCCTGCAAGAACGGGATGAAAACAAACGTGAGAAAACCTGACTATGTTGCACAGACGATGGTCTTACTGAAGCTGACGACATCATGATAGCGTGCACAACAATGTACGACATATCGTGCCCATGAGTCATCTTCGATCCACCAAACAAGTCGCCCGGGCATTCTCTGGACCTCCCTGACGCTGTCGTGGCCTCCAACAGCTCTTCCGGGAAAGTCGAACAGAGGTTCTTCGGTGGCAGATCCGATCACGACCTCGCCTTCCTCTAACCACTGCAAGAGATCCTCCTCGACGTCTTGCACAAGAGCTTGGGTACGAGGACCAGCCCGACGCAGATCTTTGCGCATCCCACGCTTGGACCTGCCAAATTGACCAGCCTGTGTCATCTGCTTGTCTGATTCTGGCACAGTTGTCGGCGGGAGGGATACGTTCCGAGGGAGATAAGGCGGGAGCGGAACAGGAAATGTCGCGTTTTTGACCGCATGCATGGGTTCCATGTCGCGTTTCGAAGGTGCAGCGACATAGGGATTGCCATTGAACAAGGCTGGATAGTACGCCGCAGCTCGTCGGCACATATGCGAGCGACAATCGAAAATGAGGCATACCGTTCTCTTTGCGTCTCACCCAGCGTTTACCCTCGTTATCATCGCGCCGAACGTTCTTTCTTGATATAGCAGGTGGTGCCTTGGGCCGAGTCTGCCCGAATTCTGCATCCAGGTGGGCAAGACGGGAGCTGAGACTGCTGTTGCGGAGGATCGCAGGGAAGGAGAGGGGCACCTGCAAAGCATCGGAAGGAGCTACTGCGACTGTGATGGCCTTTGAATCTTCACTGGGTGATACAGAATGGTGAGTAGATTCCTCCATGATTGTAAGGTTGATCGACTGAAGTGAGGACGAGTGGGCGCGGTTATCGTCGATACGATGGAATCATGGAAATGAGTTAAGTAAACAAGATGGGATGTCAACGCGTCAGCCCGAGGTCTGTCTATATCACGTATCTGTTCCAAAGAACGGCTCAATGGTCTAGTAGTATGATTCCTGCTTCGGGATAATCCCGCATGCGATGTGTGCAGAAGATGCAGGAGGTCCCGGGTTCAATTCCCGGTTGAGCCCGCGTTACTTTTTGCCACCAGTTAAGTACGACTGGCGGCTGATGGTTCATAACTTCATACTACTAACTAGACTACTTAGAAGTTATAATTAGTAGTACAGTATACTGTACTACCATACTAGATAAGTACTCTAGATACTAGATACCGACCGATTGGTACACCGCAGTACTTACAACGGGTACAATAGGATACAATAAGTATATACTTTCACCGCCTCTTGTTATCCCCGGCGATTACCTGAGTATAAAGCGTAATTATACGGAGGTTGAGTCCTATAGCTGATGGTAAAGTTCGTTGCGGGCATGAGTTATGCGTAATGAAGTACACATCGGTAACGACCTTTCTGACAAGGAGAACCTCAACTGCCTGCGACACTGTGTCGCCGAGCCCTAACAGCGTCTACCTCGAGCCCCTGCTCCTCCACCCGCAGGTACTCTCCGTTTACGAAACATACTACCTCCTGACGGCGCTTCGGCTGGGATGGTAAGCGTACCAATCTCCTCTTCCTTCGCAGGCTCCTCCTTGACGGGGACAGGATCGGTGGTCGACGTAGTGTCCGCATCTTCATGATTTACCGATGGTAAAGACGACTCTCCGGCCTTTCTCCATTTTGTCGCCGTCCATTTAGGTACTGTGGTCGCCTGGGACACATGAGAAGTGGAAGAGTTGGCGGTAAGGGGGTCGGCCTCCCCGCCGAGTATACCATTCGCTTTCTGTCCAACCGTCTCTTCTGTGATTTCTTCTTTCTTCAGCCTCGGCTTGACAGGGATGATACCGGGGTCGTACAGCTCCCCCAACCCCACGCTCGCAGTCTTCTTCCGCAATTTCCATCCACGTCCGCCCTCGTCATCTTCCTCCAATGTACGCTTTGTCCCCGCCTTCACATCGCCGTCATCGTGCTCAGGCTGTGTATCGACATCGGCTGGTGGAACCTGACTTGTAGCAGTCGGCGAATGAGAAGGTGTGCTATCAATGAACTGCCATTCACCGACATAGCCTTGCGTTTGTCGACGTTCTGCCTCGACGCGTGCATGTTCGATGTCAGGGTCGGTGTAGCCTAGAGATTCCGCAGTAGAGTAGTTTGAAAAAGCTCCAGCAGGCTTGGGAGGTTTCTTGCTCGAGGCTGCAACGGGTGGTGGAGGTATCCGGGACGAGCTCGCGGATGAGACCTTCGCATGCCCCGCGCCTACATCTTGGGCAAAGGCTGCTTGAGCTGCCTGACACAAATCCACGTTAGAATCCGAGCATTACAACATATGACATTCGCACTCACCTGATCTATCCTCGCCATCTCTCGCTTTTCCTCCTCCAAGTCCTTCTTCCGCTTCTCCCCGGCCTTGTAGAGTCCTCGGACGAAGCGCTCCTTGTTACCCTTGTGACGCATGCCATTCTCGTGGTGCTGCCTTGACGGGGCATCATCAGCGATATATGTGTCGCAGTATTTACAGAAGTAGCGCTTTTTCGAGACCCAGTATTCGCTCATGATGGAAGATCCTGGATGAGGAGGAGGTCACGAAGCCCGGAAGCCGTGATGACAGAACGTGACCATTGTCGTGAATCGTGATCGCGTGATCTGTACCTCGAGCCCGGAATGGCTGGCTGCGTTTGCTAATCTGGACTTGTGCACTCACGCCGGTTCCCGTCTCCTGTCTCCAGATTCTCCTGGCAGTGTACTTACATACCGCTCCATTGCAATTGCAAGAAAATATCAAACCGGTGACTCCCCTCTTATACCAGAACGACTGTCTTCTGGTTAGGTCAGCAACGGGAGACTAGACTCCCCTTACGGCTTGAGGGGTGCGCCTATGGCACAGGCTTGACGGAGGTCACACGAACTTTGTCCGCGTGGCCGGGACTGGTTAGATCAATTGCACATGTCATATTATCAGGACCCAGTTCTCAATTCTCACTGCTCACTGCGCTCACCGTTCAACTTATCGCGTCTTCGGCCCCTGGCCTTCTGTGTCAAATCCCTGGGAGCCGATTTCTGGATGTAGGTTTCCCTCTCCACCGCCATCTCCACACCTTGGTCCGCCGTCCCCTGAAGCGAAATGGAGCCGGAAAGCGCAGAAGGGCGGGCGTTATCGTGGAAGAGTAGCCGGCGGGACTCTACTCTAGTTGTCAGCGATGTGAAAGACGAAGTGGAACAGACCGATGGAATGGTCATGGAGGAGTCTAGGTTGTCCAACGCGCAGGGACCGTACCGATTGTACAAACGACGGTGGTTCGGAGTATTTGCTCTGGTGTGTAGCAACCGCTCCCCACTGCGCGACGAATCTGACACTGGAGCAGTTTGCGCTAGAAACAGTCGCATCTATGAGTTGGCCTTGGTTTGGGCCTATATCAAACAATGGTACGTTTTCCCCATTGCGCCGTAAGCTGAGGAAATCCACTAACAAAGCCCACTGCAGTTGTGGATGAATTTGGTTTTACCCTGGATCAAGTGAACTGGCTAGGCAACATCATTGCATGCGCGTACCTCATCACATCCTTCCTCACCCCGGTGGTGGTGAAGCGCCATGGGATCAGAACCTGCGTGCGTTTCGTGTATCGTTCAATATCCATCCAAATGTATCCTCACGATTGTCTTAGTGCTATATCGCAACTATTCTTCTTCTCATCTCTGCCTGGGTCCGTTACGCAGGCACCGCCCGGTCCCTGTCCAAGGAAGGTTCCTACGCTGTAATTCTCGTCGGCCAGGTATTATACGTCTGGAGAGCGCTTTGGTGCATGCTGACCTCCTTGAGCCAGCTTCTCTCAGGCTTATCGCAACCGGTCTTCCAAATCCTGGCGCCGAAGTATTCTGAAGTCTGGTTTGATCTGAAAGGTCGCACCACTGCCACTATGATTATTTCTATAGGTGCGTCTTTAAGTTTAAGTGGTTGGCACCCGTCTGGTTGCTTATATGACTCTGCACAGCAAATCCCATTGGAGGCGCTCTGGGCCAACTTTTCTCGCCCCTATTCAGTGATACCAGGCAGTCGGTACGTTCTCCACGATCTACGGTATCTACCATTTCCCCTCATGTTGTCTAGATACTCGTCTTGGGGATAATAGCCACTGCTGTTACACCTTTTGTCTTCCTTGTTTTGGAAGCCCCGCCCACTCCACCAAGTGTGTACACTTTCATCACCACTGCTGCATACTTATGCACCAAATCCACCAGCCTTCTCTGGCTCCAGGGCTTCTCCATCTATCAAATCACTGCTCTTTGCTGTGCTCGGACGACGTACGAACCCTGACGCCTTTATGACACGCAGAGAGCGGATCGACTTCGGACTTCTTGTCCTCATGTTTGCAGTATTACTTGCTGCGTAAGCTATTCATATTCTTATCTAGTTGACATACTCACAGAGTCGTGTTCTCTCTTCAGAATCAACAGTTTCTCTGTTCTGACATCGCAGTGGCTGGTACGTGTGTTGATTAAGATTTGTAATCCTTTTTTTTACTTTACATGTTGATTGTAGGAACCCCTTGGATATTCTGACGATATCTCAGGCCTTATGGGCGCAGCTCTTCTTATAGCTGGAATAATCGCTGCACTTGTGACTGCACCTCTATTCGATCGTGTCTTCACTCACCACCTCGCCGCCACAATACGTGTTCTGTGTCCTACCATCGGCGCCGCATGGCTTTCGTTGATATGGGCTGGTACGTATTCACTGCCCGCTCGCGATTCACGTCTAATGTTTTGTATCACAGTACGCCCAGACAACACTGGTGCTCTCTTCGGTGTGCTCGTAATCATTGGCGCCTGTTCCGTCACGCTTCTACCCATCGCTTTGGAACTTGCATGTGAATTGACTCGAAACGCGGACGGCAGTTCTGCAGTGCTATGGTTTTTGTGAGTGGTCTGTCTTGACGAGCAATAGAGTGGCCCAGGCTGACTTGGCTCTTAGCGGCAATTTATTCTGCATCATCTTCCTCTTGTGTACGCTTTTCTACGGTTTTTGTGTTTTCGTTGCCGAGCTGACGTTCGAACATTTTGTAGCCCAAGGTGCCCTACGAGCCCCGCTGACCGCGGGCGGACCCGCCCCTCAATATGCATCGCGCCATCATATTCAATGGCGCATGGTGTCTGGCAACATCCCTGTTCGTATTTCTTTTCCGCGGTCAGCAAGTAA